TTTATTTAAGCAATGTTTCAAATGTTTCTCTATTTAGAACATTTGCATCACAAAGACCAAGTTCTGCCTCTTTAGAGATACACAAGCACAGAGAGGGGCATCTCAACTTCCCCTTAAACTTTCCTCTCTATGGGCTGGTACACCTTTTACCTGATCTACTGACATACCAGGAGGCAAAGTAATAGCTCTGAACCTTCTATCCCGGCAGGAAATTACTCTGCTGCTACAAATTCAAACATGTAATGTGTAAAAACAAATATTTAGTACCTGGACAAATCAAGCTAACCATCTTGAGCTATACAGAAGTGTAGTATGAGAGAACTTTGAGGGTGTAAATAAATAAATAAATAAATAGACATTTTTTAAATGCTGTCATCTTCTCCATCCCTGCTACAAAATGTAACCCAGTTTAACTCCGGCCTTTCCCATTCTGTGGAGGCAGAGGACAAGGAATAGTTTTGTTCATAATATATATGCTTGTAAGTTAACCAAGGTATTCCTGAGGAATTCTGTAATTCCTGCTTTATGATCTGTAAGATCAAGAGAAAGAACTAACTAATTAAAATGGACGGGAAGGAGGGTTTGGCATTCTTCAAAATAAGTAACAATATCATATTGTTACTTATTACAACTTATGATATTACAATATCATATGGTCACAATATCATTGTGACCTCTGAACTGTTATGGTTTTAAAGTAAACTATGGAGAATCTATTTCTTAGGGAGTTTCTGAAGAAACAAAAAGGGGAAGCAGGCTACCAAAGAATGTTAAAAAAAAATAAATCAGTAAATAAACAAGGACTAATTCAAAACGGCAAACAGATACTTCTACACTGGGGGTGGGATGCACAAGGGAGAATATGCAGAGACTCAAATTTACACCAAGTCTTGAAATGACAAATCTGAGAACCCGATACTATGCTAAAAAGTGAGACTATTGCATCCATGACGCAGCAATATAGGAACCAAATGCAAAGACTACCACTTGCCTACCAAAAGACTTGAGGTAAGAGAATCATGCAAGGTTTTCTCCTACTTCTATTAATTTATAACATTTTGACTTTCAAGGGTTCACTAGGTTTAACTGAAATCAAAGTCACTTCATGGAAAAAAGGACAACATTGTCTTAACAGCATTACACTATTAATCACCTTCATAATAAAAAACCTGTCTGCTTAGTATCTTAGTATCACCTGCACCCAAGAACCCAATTTTGACAATTGCAGAACACAGTATTAAAGTCTGAGACTTACAGTCTCCAACAGAAAAAGACTAGGTGAAACTCCAAAAGGAGAACACTATAGGAAAAGAATCCAACAACCAAGTCTCATTGTTTTATAACACTCATTCAGTCAGCCTTATCTTGAAATAACATTTAAGTACTTAATACAAACAAAATACAAACAGAATTTCTGTAAATTAATAAAAGAACACAATAGCACAATAACACACACAACCGCATTATCAATGTTCTGGGTAATTGCTATTCTTGTTACACGAAGCCACCCAATATTGCAAGACTTTCTAATAATCCCTCTGTATAAGGTCTAATACCTACCCCTGGGATCCCAGTACAAGAAAGTATCTAATTTTTACCCATTTCATGGATGCTTAAGAGCTCCCCTGAGAAACTGGAGGAAGATGCTTCTGCTGACAATAGCATTTTTTATGCCTACAGCATAAACTCTAGCAGCATTAAAGAATCTGAAATCTGTCCCAATATTCATTATAATGAGTTGAGAATGCACATTATTTTTTTTTACCATGCTTGTGCAATTAATACCGCATTTCCATCTTCTGATTGGGAATCAGGCTTTTACTTGGACCACTGTCTTACCTGTCTTACTTTTAATTATCAGCTACAAAATTTTCTGCAGTCCCCTGCCCCCTTAGTCAGATAAGAACTCCACAGACTGCAGGGTGCCTGTAGGACCACGACAAGGAGCCTGTGCACCAGGCACACTGAACACAGGTAGGCTCTCCTCCAGAGGCCAGTGGCTTCGTGGGCATGGCAATGCCTCCACAGGACTTACTAGATCATCTTGGCACACCTCCACACCAGTGAGGCCACCTGGTTCTAGCATACAGCTACTTTAGGTACAGAAATCTGTCTACACTGGTCAAGCAGAGACCACTAGGAAATCAGCACCCATAATACCATTTTGGTGTTGTTGGGGTTTTTTTTGCCCAGATCAGGGCATGCCATCTTTGAAAGCATCATGGAGGAAAGTCATCTGTTGCTAAGAAAAGCTGAGGTGCTGTCTTCATTTGCAAAGATGAAGATAATGACTCCTTCCCTTAACAACTTTGCTCCACTTCCCAGATAAAGATTGCTGTAGCTGCAAACTTACTCAGCTAAGACTAAGTAGTATTTTAAAATACAACATCAATCACTTACTGAAAAAACTGGTTTTGATCAACACAAAACTACTCATAATGTTGAATGAAGTTTGCCTACTTCCCATAAAATAGTAACACACACAATGACCAAAAATAGTTCTGGTTTCAAATTCAGTGAAAATGTACTTAACCCATACAAAGCAGAGCAGCATCAATGGGACAGATTCCAGAAACTGCTTTCAAAACAATATTATAGTGGCTAAAAAATAACTTAGCATTTGGTAGTACAGGTTGCAATTCTTTCAGGCAGAAGAAATTGTTAAAGACCTTTCCAACATGTTAGAATTCTAAAACATTCTAGATATACCCTTCTTTCACATATAATGCATTAACTCTGGTTCATCAGGTGAGAGATCCAAAATAGAATGAAAGCATGCATGTTACCATTTCAGTAATTAGTTCAGAACTGTTTAAAGTTAATGGAGTTACATGTTTAGATTAATATAAATTCATCCATTCTTCATGTATGCTGATGCCACTTACTAGTACAAGTCAGTAAAGTTAGCAGTTTTAGCAAAAGCCTGATTGATCTGTTCAAATCGAGCAGTGTAGCCTTTGGGATTACTTTTAAAAATAACAGTTATTATAGTAAAAAAAATTAATAACGCATTCTATTGTGAAAGCATATATAACTGAACTTAAAAGTTCAGTTACTTATTATAAAGGTTTTACTAGCTTGCAGATATTACTTTGAGGCACTTTGTTGATTTATAATATAGATATATACTTACAACTGTAAACATCTTGGAAGGAAATCTGGATGTTATTTTTATAACTATTATGTCCTTTTTAAAAGATAGTATACACAAATCCTAAACAACTCTGCAAAGTAACCTTTATAATTACTAATGACATAACAAAGAATAAAATAAGTCCTTCATATTTACTACTTCTGGCTGAAAAAACTTAATTTTCAGTGACTATTACTCATGTTCGCTGAAAACTTGCTCCTTTTGCAGTTAAAGGCCTACAAGATAGGACTGATTTAAGGCTTCATCTGAAACACAGAACTGTTCATCACTATGCTGGGAACCTCCTACAAGAACAGGGGAGCCAGTACAGAATATATAGTAATAAAACATATTAAAGCACAACAGCGAAAGAAAATAACAACTGTGCTTTGCAGTGCCTGAATAGCACTAACAAAATGTCAAGCTGTTCAGCCATAACAATAAAAATACAGTCTTGCCAACAAAGCTATGGGGCGGCTTCAATTGACACATCTATACAACCTACCGATTACACTTTTTCCCTCCGTGTCTAAATTATACCTATAAAAGCTTGATGTGTAGCCAGCTGTAAAGATGTTTAATTTCACATGTGAGCAGCACTAGTGAAGGAAATGTTGTATGCAAAAAATAAACAAAGGACTTTGTGAAAAATCAAGATCTCTGAATGTAACTATATTTTCTCTTTAATTTCTTTCTATTTGTTTTTATTAGACTTTAGATTTTTTTTAACTTCTTGGACCATAACAACTGTCTAAATCACTCTGCCATTTATTGTTACTATGTAGCATTAATGACCACATGTAACAATTCTATTTGAAGTATGAATGCAAAAATTAAATGCAAGTGATTCATCACCTTTTCCTTTCCTAAAAAAAAAAATTGCAACTGTTCCTTATGCAAAACAAAGCAAATAAAAACAACCCATCCCAAAAAAAATCAACTACTTTTAACACCTTTTATGCAAAATTCAGAAAAAGAACCATTCTTTTAATCAGTATTTTTAAAAAAATCTCCAGTGAACACAATGATTCCACAAATAAGTCACATACAAAGCCGTGCAGAATTTGTCCTGTAAAGCAGAAACTATAATAAACAGATCCTAATCCAAATTAGTGCTGCTGCACCTGCTGCTATTTAAAATAAAATAGAAAAGAATAAATAACACCCTTAGACAATGAGGAAACTGATCTCCTAATAAAGTACAGTTGCCTATCTGTAATTGCAAATGACAAACACAAATACGTTTATCAGGACTGCAAAATTAGAGCACAAGCCTTGTCGAATTTATCACAGTAATGGTGGAACAGAAGCACACAAGCGGGCATATATGCAGGCTTTGAAATGACCTATTAAAACTGTCAGTTCTCATCTTAATTAAGCATAATAGATCAAAACAGCTATAAAGCAGATTCTCAAAATTGCCTGAATCAGCAAGAACCTGGTTTTTGGCAGAAATACTATTACAGTAGTTGAGGTTACGGCCTGAAATTCTTATAAAAAGCATTATATATGGTCAACAAAACATTTTCCATACTGTTCTGTTCTCCATAATGTCGTGAATTCTTTTCAATTATCAAAGCATTAAATATTCAGTAGGATCCATCTGTTTTACTAGAATACACTGCACTGGCAATTACAAAGTGAAAATAACAGCAGAAGCAAGTAACTTGCAGATTTTACTTTTCCCAATTCTTAACCTATAGCTTAATAGTCTGATATATTTAAGACAAGCCATCTATTAATTTTCCTTCTCTTACGAGTACCTGCCAATTATATTAGTTTACAGCTAGCCTATATACGTATAAAGTAAGAACAAGAAAGCTACAGAAATAAAATAAAATAAACACAATACTTATAATGACCATACCTAGTAATAAGAACCGCATTATCATGGTGGGCAATCCCATTTTCTGGAATGGTGTTTCCATCACTTTGGTGTGAGAGAATGGATTTCTGCCACTTACAGAAGCTATCGAGGGACTTGTCTGCATGGTGGTTTATCTCCAAGTTTGGCTGCAATACAACATGCATACCAGAAATGTTCCAAACAAATTACTACGGTCAGTTGTTAAGCCTTTTGAAAACTAAAATGGGACTATAATTAGAAGCAGTGGTTTCTAGGAATAAACTCTTCTTGCCAAATTTTATCTCTGTAAAATCTGACCCCAAGTTCAGATGTGTATTACTGAGCAGGCAATCTTTCTGCTCCAACTTTAATAATGATTATGTCAATACAAAAAAATAAAAAAAATCAGAATATCAAAATATCAAAATACAGATCTAAAAATAAAACTGACATCCCCGAAGTTGTATTAATATTCACCTGAAGTAAGAATAGATATCTCTGAGATAGTACATGAGGAATATTCCTTTCAACTGTTTCATCTTTATTAAAGTAGTAAAAGATTATAGGAGAGATGAAGCCATTAAAAGAAATCTATATTACAGAATAACATAACTTGTAGTTCAGGGATATAAAGCTTAGCACAACAGTTCTTACCTGGTCTTCAGTGAGGACAATTAAACGTGTCACTATAATATTCACAACGTTTCCTAGACTGGAATCACGATAAAGTTTGGCAACCTGACCTCCAGAAAATAAGAAAAGGCACAAAGTCAGACAAGAAACACTACCTATTTCCTAAATGGTTAAAAATAAAGCTATTTTCTCACTCAGTGTAATTTCATAATATTCATTATCATTATCACCCAAATAAGAGTTATTTTTGGACCAAAAAATGACCATTCAGTAAAACAAAATTCTTGGGTCGCACTTTTCAATTAAAACTGTTTATACGTTGTTTCATAATTCATCCACACTGTTGACCTAAACAGAGTAGAACTGCACAGTCTAATCATATGAATTTAAAGACAATTGAAAACTGATCACAGCGTACTTCCTGACAGAAACAGTACTGTATTTTTCCCCACAATGCTAACATTTGCCATATTTCAGCTACTAATTCCTGCAAGTTAATACATGTTTTAAAACACTAATCATACCAATAAATAAAGACTTAACAGTTGGTTTATCATTTCAGCACATGCATATTGATTTGAACACAGAGAGGGACGAAACTTACAATATTCATTACACTCAAAATGTAGTGCTCAATGTCTTTGCGACCATGGTATCCCACCATCATTTTGTCTGCTACTACCAGCGTTTCCACAAACCGTTCAAGGCTTACTGATCTCTTCTGCCGACTACGACTACTTAGCGTGTCATTGACTGAGGGTGAAGCTGGAAAAGCAGATGCATCCCTCATCCACCAAGGTTTACTGCTTCCTGTGAGGTCTTCTAGGAACCAAAATAATTAAACACAAAATAATGAGTTTAACTAGTTAAACTCATTCAAATGCAGCTGGTTTATGTTGATGTTACTGTTTTTCAAGCTTCTCAAAAGTCATCTTTCACGAGGCAAGGAAAAAATAAATTTATTATTTTTTATTATTATTTTATTTTAAAATATCTTATATAATGGAAAAACAGCTTGGAGTTCCAATACTCTCAACTCTCCTTAACTTGGCTTAGGATAACAAAGCATGAATCTTCTCTTAATAGATCTGATTCTGCACATCTATGTTAATACTAGAAATGAGTTACAATTAACCACAAGCACACGTTATAAAATTTTTAAAGATTAAAAAAGAGAGCTGCAACATTTGGAAAAAAATTCTGGAAGCAAAAAAAAAAAAAAAAGATAAAAGGTATCAAAATATACTAAGGAATTAAACATGCTGGTAAGGCAGTAGAAAGAGCTGAACTCTGTACTTATTAGGCAATTACGCTTTACATGCCTAATAGTTTTCAGCACAAACAAACTAATTTCCTCTTCAGAAAGCTATCAGATTATGTTTTACCTACCTCATGAATTAATTTAATGGGAAGTTTAAAATGGCCTTACACGAGATAGCTGCTACAGTTATTTTCAGAACCAATTTTAATTCAAATACATTGATTCTTGTACTTGTTTCACATGAATATACAGAAAAAATGTTTCTTGCATGCAAGAGCTTGATTATCAAAAATTCAAACAGCTGTGACTATCAGCGAAACAAACACTATAAACACTTTGCATTTGAATTCCTGTCCTCAGGGCAAAAATCAAACCCGGTCTTTCCTGAAAAACTGTGATTTTTTTATGTATTAAAGATCCCTTTTACACAAAGGCCCACACAGATCTTAACCTTAAGTGTATCAAACCACCTTACTAGTATGGTTTTACCTAAGAAGGATTTCCAAGTATCTACAGTATTCTTGCTAGTTATAGATGAACATAAGTACATTAACAGTTGGACACATTTATAACTGTCTGAACAGGACCGCTCAAGTGAGCAATTTCTGTGTAGCATCCTTTTCTCTCCAAAGGACCTAAGCTAAGGATGAGTTGCGATAGGACCAGTACTTTCCATGAAAAGTGATGCTTTATACAATTCAACTGAGCATGCTATTTTCAGAGAGCAATAGCTACACCACAAAGTATGTATGTTCAGATCAAAATCAGGAGCACAAAGCTTCAGCGTTCCCACTGCTGCAGTGCTTCCCAATTTTTGAGGCCTCAGTGTTGGCTTTAAAAGGTGCATGTTTTAGAAAAGTCAAAAAATGAAAATAGACCTCGTAGCTGAAAAAAATGTCAGTAACAAAATTGTCCTCATTCTGCAATGGGTATAATCCATTCTAAAATCCTGTATCAAATACTAAAGCCTTTTGAGGATTTTATAATTAATACTAAGATTTTTCCTGGGTTTCATCTCTATTACAGAAAACTAGAGGTGCTTTGATTGTTCAAAGATTTTAATCTCACTTAGGTAGTGATATAAGAATATCTGGAATCTTCTCTGACAGCTTCTGTACTAAAATTTTCTAAGAGTCCACTCTTCATTTTCAAATAACAAATGGTGATGTTTGAGGGTTTCTAATGCTCTTAAGAGTGCTGAAAATACTTTACAAATGTAATATTGCTTCAGAATTCATTGATAATTTTTTACTCAAAGATGTAAATCTATTCTAAACTTTTGAAAACTGATAAGCTCACACAGAAAACCTGCAGAGGAAAAAAAAATATTATTTTGGACTCATCTTGATAGCTTCTTTCAAACAAAGGTCTCAGAAGACTTCAAAAAAACAAACATTTCTCCTTTTCTTATCAGATGACAAGTTTAGCTTAGGCCACAGCTGGTCTCAAAATAATGGGAAAGCTGGAAACAATCCTGAGTACTTGGGCTCACACTCCAGAACTATCAATGCTTATGATGCTTTCCTTTAAAATCACTAAATGCTGACTAAATTTTCTTTAAACAGCTAAAGCACATCAATAAAAGTTTGTAATATATTTAACAAAAACAGTTCTGTGGCAAGCTATGTCATTTTTCCACCACATTCCTAGGTTAAAAAAGAAAAACTTTAATAACATCAAACATAGCTATCAATAAGAAAACAATAACTAAAAAAAAAAAAACACAGAAAAACACTGTAATTAACCCCAAAGTAATGACTAGAAAAGCAGGGAATTCTATTTTAAATTGCAACTGAAACAAAATCCAAATGTGTAGACAAAGGGTTTATCAAAATAGTATCCAAGTTTTCTTAAGTCAGCCTTCTAAAGATGTTAGGTAGGGGTGAAGTTCAAGAGAGAGGAGAGAACACAAAAGCGGAGAAAGATCTCAGAACACATCAGAAAACTACATACGCAAAATACAAGGAGAATGTGTCAAACTGAAGCATCATGTGCTTCTTTTTGCCTTATTTTAACATTATCATTTAATGTATACACGAGCATTTTCTCCATCTTAGAATACACCAACTGCCAAGGTCTGGCATGATTAAAACTACTACGTAAGGCAGCATATAGTAGAACCATCCCTAAATAATCTGCCAATTTGCAGTTTTCATAGGTCAACTTTTGTTGATTCTCATCCTATCCAAACATAGCATTCTGCAAGATAACCCATCGGCCTCAAATTCCACTGAAGCAACTGGAATTTGACCATCGTCAACTTAGCAAAGTCTTAATGGCTCAGCTACATAACTTAGTGATGATATATACACCCGACAGCAATATAACTTTTTTCTTAAAACGACTCATGTGTAATCACTTAAAATCTAATTTAGTTTATGAACATTTATCCCATGTTCTTATCTGAATTTCCCTGCCTCTCAAATTCTTCTCCCGTATTAGCCACCAAAATTCTATAATCTACTATACAGTCATGCATCACTTGCTCATCCCAACCAATTCCGAACATCCTTTCACTAAACTCCCACGCCCCTGTCTATTATTGCAATTTTTCTTAGAAGAGACAGAAAGGGTCTCACTTCTCTGCGAATACACAAAAAATTAAGAAAGGGTCTTACTTCTCTGAGACAGAACAAGTACACAATAAATTAAGATCTAGATGACAGCAGGGGAAACTTGCCAGATCCTGAACAGTGGTACAGATACACAAATATGTTCCTCCCAGAATATTGTATGGGGAAAACTGTTCTGCAGAGAGGCTAAAATCAGCCTCTGGACAAAATAAATTAGATACTGCCAAAAGGCAGCCTCAGGTTCATTACAACCAAGAAGGCCAACGACATACTGGCTTGTATCAGAAATTTTGTGACCAGCAGAAGAAGGGAGGTGATTGTCCCTCTGTACTCAGCACTGGTGAGGCCGCACCTTGAGTATTGTGTTCAGTTTTGGTCACCTCAGTATAAGAGAGACATCGAGGTGTTGGAGCGAGTGCAGAGGAGGGCAACAAAGCTGGTGAAGGGCCTGGAGAATAGATCTTACGAGGAGCAATTGAGGGAGCTGGGACTGTTCAGTTTGACAAAGAGGAGGCTGTGGGGGGACCTCATCATGCTCTAAAATTACTTGGAAGGACATTGTAGAGAGGTTGGTGCTGGTCTCTTCTCACAGGTAATTAGGGACGGAAGCAGGGGGAATGGTTGCAAGTTGCAACAGGGCAGGCTTAGGCTGGACATTAGGAAGAAATTCTTCATGGAAGGAGTGGTCAGACACTGGAACAGACTGCCTAGGGAGGTGGTTGAGTTGCCATCCCTGGATGTGTTTGAGAGTCGCTTAGATGTGGTGTTGGGTGATATGGTTTAGGGGTGAACTTGCAGTGTAGGGTTAATGGTTGGACTCGATGATACCAAGGGTCTTTTCCAACCTGAATAGTTCTATGATTCTATGACTGCATTTTAAAATACAAAATTGGACTGCTCAGAACTTCCAAAGCCAGCTAAATGCCCTGAAGATTACTGTAAATCTGGCTCTAGTCCTAGGGTGTAAAAGATGTAAACTTGAAAATTAATATTTGGTTTTGCTTTTTAGATATCTTAGGGATGCTCCAAATGGGAGTTTATAAGGTTTTGGTGTTCATGAGGAGGATACTAAAAAAAAGCACATCATTTGGAGACGCAAAACCTTGCAGTTTTGGAGGAGAGCAAATTTTTTTTTCAGAAATTTTCGTGGTGTGGAAGTATTATACAGAACAAGGGGATAAGAGAAACTGAGACAAATGAGCATGGCAGTAGTCTCAGGCTTGTAAAAAGCAGTGCTTTAATATTTTGATAGTTAAGGACTTCCGGATGTGACAGATATGAAAGCTCAGGAAAAGGAAAGGATCTTCCAGGAAGAAAAGCATCATAAAATACGCAGTGGACTGACTAAGTCATAGAATGTGTTGGGCTGGAAGCGACCTTTAAACGTCCTCTAGTCCAACCCCCCTGCAGTAAGCAGGGACATCTTTAACTGGATCAGGTTGCTCAGAGACCCATCAAGCCTGACCTGGAATGTCTCCAGGGATGGAGCCTCCACCACCCCTCTGGGCTACCTGTGCCACTGTTTCACCATCCTCATGCTAAAGAAAAACACTAAAGAACTTCTTTCTAACTTCTAATCTAAATCTACCCTGCTCTAATCTAAAACGATTGCCCCTCCTCCTGTCGCTACACAAAGTGCTAAAGATTACCGTGCATTTCACACAAAAACGTGTGCAAAACACATAGCTCTGATCAACTGATATTGTGTACCACAGATACTGCCACAACAAGCAAATGCAACCTGACCAAACTAGCTGCCACTGCTTCATCCTCACTTGGAGGAGAATGGCTTCCTAAGCACTAACCTAGAAGAAAACATCTGACCAAGGCCACCGGGATATCTAATCATACCTAAGGATATAATAATATTAAAAATGGCATCATCCTATACTTCATCATCCTTCCAGTTACTTCAAGAGGTTCAGGTGACAGCTTTCCC